ATGTCCTTTGTGTAACATTGTACCTGTAAAACTTTTTTTAATTATTGTTTAGAGGCTGTATTTTTGGCTGCTGCTAAATTATTTAGTGAAAGAACAGACAAATGAGCCGACAAAGTAAAGTTGTTGCCACTCGGGAAATTACATTTAGGTCTGCGTACCTTATGACACAACAGGTGCAAGAGTTCAGATGAAAATCCAATTAAAAAGACTCCACAAACAAAGTGCAAAATATATATATAACAAAAAAATAAAAATAATAATGAGCAGAAAAACAAGAGTAGCGACTAGAAAAAAAAACAATGTTGGGATGTAAGGAAATTACCAGCGTTGTTATTATTAAGTCATTACTGTCGATAGTTTACAACTACTGTCTCCCTTCACCTGTTAAAATCAAACCTAAGTGAATATTTAGCATTGGTGTCATTAAAGTCTGCTTATCGGACTGTTCACAATTAAGACCCGACAGGACACAGTCTGTACATGTAGCCTCCGCAAACCCAAACACTGAAACAAAAGCCAGCACAGAGCCTTACTCCATCAGCAAGGCAGGAATTAGTGAACAAAGGTAAAACTAGTAAGACACATGAATCACATCAGGGCAGGGCAGATAAGGACAAACTCTGGACAAATCACCTAATAGAAAAGAAGAAGAAAGTGAAAACAAAAACATTAGGAAGACAAGGGCAAAAAAACAGGCGGATGGAAGGAACTGATAAAAAAGGTCTGAACAAAGATGTCAAATTCAAGCCTCTAGGAAAGTTTGTAAAAAAAAGTTTGTTAAATATTCAGAAGATTGACAGAAACACATTAAGTTCAAGACCATAGTAATTGATGTAACATATTGCAGGGACATGGAATGACAGTCATTTTGTCTCTTAAGTGCAGAGGGTTACAATGACCTTGTAAGTGCTCTTATCAAATTCCACTCTAATTCGAGAGGTTCTCGACTTGTAAGTGGCATCGGTGGTGACAGAAAAAAAAATGAATCAAGTACTTCCACTCGCATTACATTTACATTAAAGCTATTTAGCACTTGCTCTTATCCAAAGCAAATTATGATGAGAGCGGCAGTAAAATTAGCCTGTGCCCGGGCTGATGGTGTACCGATAATAGAGCCAGACAAACACTGCTGTTATGTGAGATTGCTTCTCTGCCAGACTTTTACAAAAAGAAATTAGAAGGCGAGGAGCTTGAGAGTGAGGAGGATCGGATTTAGACAGCAGCATATTGGCGGGGGTGGCGGTGTGAGTGATACAGGAGGGAGCTGGGGACGTGAGTTATTTCTTGAGGAGATGGGTTTCAAGTTTACAAGGGAAAGAAGTGTCTCTCCCAACTGTGATTGTTCCACCGCTGTGTGGCTGCAATCTGACTGTTAATACCACTACAGTAGTCAGACCCAAACGGTGATTTGTTTGTACCTCGGTGTGTACATCATTACACGCACAATTAAGTTGAGCTACAGTAGTACTATCAAGTGGAAAATGAAGACAGACTGCTGACCTGGTCTCAGTGTACAGGTACAGCCAGAGAATTGATTAATAATGGGAGTGGTATGCCTCCTGTGGACAGCTCAGAGTTAATCTGCTAACTGTAAGACAGTTAGAAAAACATTTAGCCAAAAATATCTTTACTGTATGTATTTCATATACACCCTTCACATTTTAAATATTTGAAATATGACTGAGAAACGATCTGATTGATCACAGGGAGCTCTAGCTGTTGTTTATCATTGTTCATCCTGATTGATGGTGATCAGTCAACAATATTAATATGACGTTTCTTTCTGTATATTTCTGGAACAGAAAATTCAGCATTTAGAAGTTTGTGTTTCACAGCTGTTTTTATTTCAAACTAATCAAAATGTATCTTCAGCTTTATGAAACATGTCAACAGTTACATTGAAATCTTCAGTGAAGTCCATGTCTCCAATTTATTTAGTCAGTTTGCATTCACTCGCAAACACTTTGAAAGTAATGTTAGTGAGCAGGTCAGCTGTAGACTGACTTACTGCCCTGCACTAAGGAGACGATGCAATGCGTATAAATAGCATGTGTTTCGACTGTATTAGAGCAACCAGTATTGAGTGAGCATCATTCCACCCATGCACTGAAAATGCATTAGATAATATTAACCTGCTAATTTTGAAAAAGCTCTAGTTTAAAATAAGTTGGACTCCAGGTGACCTCTGTATTTTTAGAATTGCTGCAGGCCATGTGATGACACCTTTTGTGGTCTAAATTACAACACCAGCTATGCTAAGATAATTTGGTTTAAAGCTTGACAGGCAGTTAACCTTTACAGTAACTAACTGCTGCTAACACTGGTTAGTGCTGTGCTTTCTTATTTGCTGTCCATTTGTTCTGTTTTATTTCACCAACTCCAATATGCTGTGTGGTTCACCATCTTTAAAAATATGGAATGACACTGTTCAGCCTCTGACTTCAGGGAGGGACCAATTTATGTTTATTCAATGTATTTATTAAACCTTTGTTTAAGGAACAGCCCTGGTCTGACAGTCTGTCTGAGGACGCACGAGCCAGGAGAAGAAGACTGATGTTAGGGAAACACAGAGAAAAGACAAAGGAGGATGTTAGAAATAGAGAGAGGACAAAGGGGAGGTAGTGGCCGATGCCTCCACACAGACAGCTGTGGTGCCATGGATATTAAAAGTGCCTGCAGCCAGAATACATTAATTCTGAGGACAGACCGGAGTCTTGTACTCTGAGAGTGAAGATCAAAAGTTGAGATCTGAGGTTTAAAGAGATGAACCCAGTCTGATGGGGTTGACCAGAGCAGGACGTTTTGTGTCATCAACAGCAATTTGAAGTCCGCTCTCGTACTGAGAATGAGCTAAATAAAGAGCTAAATATGGAAAATGGGTGGCATTTAAACGTTGCTGTTTAAAGTTGCAGTGAGTGTGGATAATGTCAGAAATTGGTTGGATAGATTGCATAGATAAAGGTTTAGCTTATATCATGCTAATCATTTTGTGAGAGATTTTGACACACATCATCATTTGTAATGGTGAGGAGAAATATCTGGACTGCAGGCTGGCCGTTCCTTCCTAGTACAGTATATCATTTGTGCATAATGAGGCTAACATTTGAATATTAACCTCTACCTCAGTGACACTTTCACATTAATGCTGACCATCCATGTAAATGGTCTGTACTTTTACATATTTTCTAGCCCTGAGGGCTACTCAAAGATTACTTCAGATTTTGCCACCTACATACAGATGAAATATGACCTGTTAGGTCTGACCCTCAGCCGTGGATACTGATGCACACCCACAGCACGTCCTTCACATTAGAATCTGAATTTTACTTGCCATAAAACTCAGCTGAAACATGGACTCATCAAACCACAGCACATGCTTCTATTTTAATTTGCTCTGCATTTTGGTTTCTCGCCACGGAGCTTCATCGTCAAACACTTCTCCAGGTTCGAGTGAATTCTTTTCCACAATGTTACGTGCAGTTCCTCAGACTGCAAAAGCAGCAAAAAAAAAAAAGTAACATTTCTGCGCTGTCAAGCACAAGTGCAATTGCAATGATCATCCTTATAATTTAGTAGTGACTGAACTACAGAAGTAATTCAGGTTATCTGGAATTGGACTTTTAATCAGTGCCAGAGGAGCCAGCTGTCTGCACCCTGTGGATTTTCTCTCTAGACAGGTTAATGACATGTTAATTATGATTGTGGGCTCCAAAGCCAGACTTTTTCAAACATGTAGCTTATTCTGTTGTGACCCGGAAAGACCAGATGTTAAGTAAACCCCAAAACAACAGAAGAAGAAGAAAGAGCACAGCTGTCCATGTCATAGAAAATAACCAGGATAAGTGTTGAACCCAGATTTAAGGGAATTACCCAGAATCCTCCACAGGCCCTGGTAGTGACACTTTCTTTGATCATTGATAACTGAATATGTCTGAGCATTTAAATGGAAATGCAGTTTCTTTATTTTGAGTTTAACTATTCATTTTATGACAGCACTCAGACAGGAACCAGCAGTTCTATTCCAAACACATTTTATTTTCAATTTTTAAGCTAATGTCTCTGAACATTCTCTTGGTCACAACATAAGCATTGAATAAACAGTAGTGTATAAAATCCCAATTTCATGTTTCACAGATGCATTGAGGGAAGAGTGAAGACGAAAATGTTAAAAATGGGATTATGGGTATACAATAGGTGTTAATTGGGGAAATTACCCAAAGCTGCTGTTTTTGTGTTGTTTTGTTTTGTTTTTTTCAACTCAAGTCAGAGAAGACAACGTTAAAACACTAATTAATTTGCAGCAAATTGTGCTGGTGCTGCACAGCAATTAAGGAGACTATATTGCAGTGCGTATTCAACATCATTGCTCGTAAATGACTGTGGTACAGAGGTTGTGAAAAGGTTAGAGAAGGTGTGGGGGAGAATCCTGCCCCAGGGCCTTGAGCCTCCCACAGGTCTTCATTATAAGAGGAAATGGAGCCACTAGCTTTGAAACATCAAGGATTCAGACGTCGCCTCCTGGAGGCTGGGACATTAACGCTTTCCACCTCAGGGACTCCTGTCTCTCAGTGAGGAATGCATTAAGGTTGCAGAGGTGATGCAGGACATCTGCTCCTCAGCCAGTACAGTAGATGCTTTGCATGGCTTAGAAGTGATGCCTCTCATGGAGCGCTGCACTGACTGATCCACCAGCTGCTCTCCAGACTGGGGTTGAGTCAGACTGGTGCTGTTACACAGCGTAACCACTCCAGTTTCCACATGCAAATGAAGCCACATAAGGTCAGTGTCATGTCGCACTGATGATTAATTTGAGAGCTCTCATAATTAGTAAGTAATAAACAGTGACATTTATGATGTTTGAACAGAGGCTCCATTATAATTTCATTTACGGCTCACTATATTCACTCGTTTCACCTGATATATTGAAAAGGAAAAAAAGCTTGTGTTATTGCTGCTGCACAAGAATGACAGTTTCCTGTTTGTGTTGTTTGTATAACAAGGTTTGGCAGTGCGGCGGCAGTGTGGAGGTTCATCCATGCGCACGCATCGCCCACATTGAGCGTGCTCATAAACCCTACACTGAAGACCTGACGTCTCATGTGCGAAGAAATGCCCTGAGAGTCGCCGAAGTTTGGATGGATGAGTTTAAAAGTCATGTCTACATGGCCTGGAATATTCCCCAGGAGGTGAGTCACCAGGAGCGTCGTCATGAAAACCAGCTGTTGTGATGTAGTTCCAGAATATTACATGCAGGATCAGTTGTTACACAGCAAGTATGTTTCTGTCTTTTATCACTGAATTGCCATAAATCTGAGTCAGGATGTCCACACTCTATTTTCTGTATTAATGTTGATGGTGATATCAATTGACTGTCTTAAATCTAAAGGAGAAGCAGACGGTTTCATTTCTGGAGCTCCTAATCTTACATTGGCAGAGGTATCAAGGAATTATTCCCCCGCTGCCTTCACTGGTCTGAAGTGAAACAATTTCCTCCTCCTTTACATCTTTGTCTGAGTATTTCACCTGTCACACCACAGAGACAACTTGTCACTCATACTTACTCAACCCAGTGCCAGAGAGGCATCAGGCATTCAGTGCAACTGAAAAAAATAACAAACTATGGTATTGAGATTCAGGGATTATGCACACCAGTCCACATCAGTAGTCACCAGTCCACACCGAGTTTGGATGGTGACCTGTCAGAGTGGAGCGTGCAGGTTGTCATAACACCTTCTCTCCAATCCACAAGCATGCAGGTTAAAAATGAAAATGCATTTTAAAAGTCTAAAAGTCTTGTGAAAGTCTTCCCAACTCATATTGTACGGTGATTAAACTTGGGTTAGAACGAGATTCTGCCTCTGAAGAGCCAACTTCTGATTTGATGAGTCAGCGTTTTCAAACTCAAACGAACCATCACGTGGATCGGACTATAATTTGCAGAAGTGTACGCTGTTGTGAAACCTGGGGATAGCATGCAGTATGATTTTTTTTTTCTCCATGGAGTTGGAAACTGTCATTTATATTTCATATATCTATCAGACGTGTCTTCTATTTGTAGACTCAGGTTTGAGAATCAGGGTTCTCTGTATTTGTATTTAATTATTGCAAGTCACGCAGGGATTAACAAGTTATTCACACTTTTGCAACCTTGTTCTAGTTGGATTTGGAGAAACACAGGAACCCTGTAAGCATGTTAGCTTTAGCTCCTTTATTTTGGGACAATCCTCACATTTTTAATGTCGGTGAAGGTGAAATGAGAAGGAATTGGAAAAGACCTGGATGCGAGTACTGTCAGTGGGTACATGTAATATTTGATCATCATAATTGACAGAATAAATGGTCAGAAAGTACAGATGTTCATACATATATTTATATATGTCCAAAACCTCCTAGAAGCCGTGGTTTATCCTGATTTGACTCCATCTGATTTCCTGTGTCAGATGTAAATTTATGGGACTGGATTTATGTCACTGGGATTAACTCAGTTGAAAGTAAGACTTCTTATAGGCTACAGTTTAAAATAGAGCTATATAAAATATGTTTTGTATAGTGTCATAATTATTTTTTTTCACCCTGCTCCCGACTGAATAACGGATGATGATGAGATTATGATTACACAGTGATGCATTAAGTTACATTTCAGATGCCTCAAAAACAAATTTTGATGTTTATTCACCGACTCTTTTCTTCTCTGTATATTCTGTTTGAATATGTAAATCAACATTATGAATAGATGAACATCTGCAGGCAATTCATTTAGTCAATAATGAGACGGTTAAAAAAGGCTGTACTCAAAAAGCCTGAAATCTAGCCCCACAAATTAACTGAGCTGCAAAGTTGTTAGTTTTAATTTACCTCTGAGGCTGATAAATCAACAAAAATCAACAAAATGCCAGTGTTTATTAAGGGGTTTGAAACTTACTAAAATGTTCAAATTTAAAGGGTTTTAACCAAGAAAAACGCTGCAGCAGCTTCTGATCATGGTTTTAATGAAGGATGATTGAGATTCTTGCGGAGTTTAGCCAGTTGAAATAAAGTGTCAGGTTGATTATGACTGGTCACGACATACAATAACAGCTAGATGGATTGACTATTATAAGCCTAAATAAATCATCATTGAAGTCACTCTATGAACACAGTGACCAGCTTTTTATCTGGCTGTCAATCACACTTCAATCATCTATCAACTTTATGACTATTATTATTATTATTTCCATTCATAGCCCGGCACCTGATTGTTTCGTTTATAGGATATTGAGATACAAAATAAACCTATTCCTATGGTCAGTATAGAGTTGGTAATTAACCATATACTGCACAGGGAGAAACTCCATGCAGAGTTTCAACAGAGGGATTAAACTTGTGACCTTTTTCCTGTTAGGTAGATAGGGTTGCCATTCCTCCACTGTGTGGCCCTCTGAATGTATCAGTCAAAGGAAACGTAGACTTACATGCAAATCAAATGTTGCTGCTGAAAATGTTGAAACACTTTCACATTCTTATGCAGTATGAACTACTGTAAGACTGCAGAGCGTACAGAAATAGAGGAGATGTGAAATTCAAGACCTGGATTTGCCTCTAAGCCTTGTCAAAAGAAATGTGCAACTGTGAAAGTCACAACTGCATAAGCATCTTGAAATCCACTGGAAATGTCAGACATGTATGTCTAATTCATGAAGGTTTTTGATATTTTTAGTTAAAAGTCTTAGGGTTTTATGACAGGATTGACAAATATTTAATGACAGCCACTATCTTCAATACTGAATTTGTTGATCCATCAAATATTACATTGCTTTCATCCAGTCAATTTGTTTGGTTACGAGGCACTGATGTTTCACTGACTGAAGTAATTAGTATTAAATATAATTTGTGATGAAATCATGTTCCTAGATGTTGTTCTTAAATTTTTATGTGTTATTAAAAATACAGCTGAGGATTAATATTAATGTCAGCCCAACTCATGTTACTTGCATGGTTGAAATTTCCTCAGTTATACAAACAGATTAAAGAACAAGTTGATTTAATTAGTTGATAGAGGAAGAACCCGAGAAATAACATCATCAGACCATTTTAAGGGTGGTTGTTTTTACCTTTTTTTACTGCCATACTCTTAACATTTATTCTACTCACTAATCCTACAAGAGTACCTGCCTTGAAAGGCACAAACACACCTTTGTACACAAGCCTTGAACTGCAGATACATCTGTGAATTGACTCTTAGCTCTGTGAAAAACCCAGCTGGAAACACACTAAATAATATCTATTCAAGTCAACAAAAGGCTTCTTGCTGTTAAAATGCAGTCATTACTTCGTCAGAAACGGGGGTGCATTGATTTCAGGTTCTTCGTAACTGTGTTTTTTACTGAACACTTACAGGATTCAGGGATTGATATCGGTGATATCTCTGAGAGGAAGGCTCTGCGGAAGAGACTGCAGTGTAAAACCTTTCGATGGTACCTGGTCAACATCTACCCTGAGATGAGGATGTACAGCGACACTGTTGCCTACGGAGTGGTGAGCCTTAATACAGTACCTTCATACTTCACATTCTGCCAAGTCTCACAACAAGATCATCTGAGGATGATCTTTAGACTCCTGCACTAAACTGAAAATTTAAATGTGTCAACAAATCATAACTCCCCTTCACTTACAATATACTAAGAATATATAATTGTGTATTTGATAATATGTGTTTTTGGAATTTTGTTTGTTTACATTGAACATGAAGCTTCTCGTACAGGCCTGTAGGTGGTGCCAGATTGAGGCTTGTTTCTTAATTTATATGTCTTGTTACAACATAACTTAAAAAATATATATATATATAAAAATCTGATTCCAGTTCTTGTGCACTTCCGGGTCCTACACAGGTAAGATTTCACATTATTTAGATATGTTGAATTACAAATACACAGATGATAAAAAGGACCAGAAAATATCACAGAAGATGGAACATATTAGTGTTGTATTCTGTTTGTCTTGGTTGTTCTCTGACAGCATTACCCCCCGCCCCCCACTCCGATGCACCATGATGCACAGTGACACACAAACAGTTATCTGGCCGTGTTTCTCTCTGTCGTGAGTGTTTTGTTTTTTCTTGTGTAAACAGGGAATTAGGGCAGCCTCCTTTTACTGATACAGTTGACCTCATTTCTCCACACTGACTGTATATATTTAATGGGTTAGTGTCAGTGCTTTCAGGATCTAGTTCATCAGAGCAGATCGTTGTGACTGTTTTAAATGGAGCTGCACCTAATGACTGTTTCTGGAATCAATCGTTAGCTTTCTTTAATTCATTAAACAATCATCGACCCATACCAATCAGAACATGTTGAAAAATAAATTACATTTTGTTCAAAGACGCAGAGGAATCAGTAATGCTGAACTCAAATTATTCAAATCTTTCACTGTTAAAAACAACTGTTTCAGCCATATATATATATATAATACATTTTCAATCAGTTGCTTTTGTCTTGCTATTTTTTAACTATATAATACCAATTGGCTCCATACCTGCAGTTGAGCCAATGCAATCAAAGGTGATGAATTAAATCTCTTTTCATTATTCTTCACTGAAGTATCGTTGCAGTAGTAGCCATGCTACAGAAACAGGGGCTGCTCTCTCTCTCTGCTGTTTCACTGCAGCACTCTTCTCCACAGGTGTCACTTTCCTACACAGGCTAACATTTTCTTTCCACCTCAGACAGTAGACATGTTAAGACCTGAGCTGCTGTGGGACCATGTTCTGCCTGTGGATTTGATGATTATCAGGCAGAATCAGACGCCTCATGAAGCCACTGTGGAGCTAAATCATCCCTAACGCAGTTCTTTTCATCAGCCCTGGTCTTAACCTGATTCGCTTTGACTCAAACTACAGTCGGGGGAATTGGAGACGCTTGACTTGGTGTCTCGCTATCAGGCAGAGTTTTCTAATGACACACGTGAATAAGCATCAAGGCCTGCACGTCTGAGTCATATTCATCAAGCTTAAAGGTGTCTGATGAACGCATTAATGAAGATAAAAATGAACATGAGAGGATTTGGAGCATGACTCTCCTATGACATCACCCTCAGCTTCCTCTGCTGTATGTTCTGTAGTTATCTTTAAATATTTATATTGTGGTAATGAGTATTGAGCGCAAGCGTCTGCCCGATGTACATAAGCATATTTTCTTATTTCTTTGTCTTTTTTTCAAAGCCTCATCACCTCGTGCTGTAACATCACAGTGAGCTGCATTGGCTGTTATGATGATCTGCTGCTGAAATATCACACATTAGAGTTGAGGGGAGCAGGTGGCAGACGTGGCTCTGAGTTTTTTGGTTTTTTTTGTCAAGATTTAAGGCAGCACTAATTCTTATGCCACAAAATACATTTTCCTCTCCTCCTGAGAGTCTGTCACTATTCCTCACTAGTGGCTTATAAACCATAATAAATCAGGTTTAAGTAATGTATCTGGCCAGAGGATGTTTTAAATATCCCTTTATGTTTTTCTTTTATCTGCAAAAATATAACAAAGATCTTTTGCATCTTTTAGGAGTCACAGATGATCCCTGTGTCCTGTCCAAATGGACAAAAGTAAATTTGGGGAATTAAATCATTTGAAACAACATCTTTGTTCTTCTGACTAATAACTGAAGGTTTGAACTCATTTTTTAAACTCCAGTCTTAGTTTTTATGCCATTTTAAGAAGAGTTTGTTTGGTAAGTACTGAACAGTCCTGAAAAGATATTAAGGTTCTTTGATAGATTCGATAGATGATATTTTTGTGCATCTATATGTGTGACATGTTTTCTGTGTCTTTTCTTTTCCCTGTCAGCTGAAAAACTCTCTGAAGAACGACCTGTGTTTGGACCAGGGCCCTGACAATGACAACGTACCCATCCTGTATCTGTGTCATGGGATGACACCTCAGGTTAGAGCCTGCCTGAACTCTCTCTCTCTCTCTCTCTCTCTCTCTCTCTCTCCTTCTCTCTCTCCTTCTCTCTCCCTCTCTCCCTCTCTCCCTTTCCCTTATCCTCTCTCAGCTCCCTGTCCACCAACATTTCATGCCACGTGAAGCATATACAGTAGACATGTTGAATATATCATCCCTGTATTTTTTAGCCCCATCCAGGGATCCTTCCTTCCTTCCTTTCTCAATAAAAACCTGCTCCATCTCGGGGGACGATGTACCTTCCTTTTCACTGCTGTATCAAACTCAGCAGCTTGTCTTCATAAAACAATAGTGTTTTGGTCTGGCCTTTACAGAAGCGCTCCTTGATCATTTATTTTTTAAATGCATATTGAATGGAAGAACCTTTCATTGCAAATGGCATGTTGCGTTGACCCCAGCTCTTTATACCAGATTGTGGGTTTTAATATAAGCTTGACTTTTCTATATAATAAAGGTTATGAAAACATTGTGTTTTCCACCTTCTGGTCTTCATAGGTGTACTGAATTGACATTTTCTTTGATTTGTCCTTAAACTTCTGTTATTGCTTCTCTCCTTCCTATATATATTTTTTGTTCCAGCGTGCAGACATTACAAGAGCCATTCTATTCTATTTATAGTAAATTGTTGATTTGGTAAATTGGTTTGCTGTGAACAACATGCCAGGAATGTGAGCTATATTGAACAACCTTACAGTATCTGTATATCACGACAGCTCGATTGTTCTCTCAGCTCGTGACCAAAGAATAAGCTCGCAGATAAAAGTGGCCGAAAAGGCTTTTTTCTTCAGGATGGCTTGGGTCTTCATTAGGGACAGGGAAGCTCAGTCATCAGGGAGAGACTAGGAATTGAACCACTGCTCCTGATCATAGAAAAGAGCCAGTTGAGATGGTTCAGGTGCATCCAAATTGGAGGAGAAAACACAAAATGAAAATGTATTAAAATTTTCAAGGAAAAACAAGGTCTAAATCTATCTTAACTGCACTGATCGTTCCTTCCTTTCTTGTATGTTGTGTCAAGTTAGCTGTTAGCAAGTTAGTTTGTGACTTATCAATGTTACGTCTGCAACTTTATTTGTCCATATTTTACACTCTGTATGTTTTCATTTGCTATACGGGTGTTTGGGCCATGGCACATATACGTATATCATAAGGAAAAACTAGTTTTGGAACATTGGATAATTTACCGCGGCACACCTAATGATCTCCCGCGGCAACACTGGTGTAGACTGAGGTCAGAGAAGAACCCTTTCTACACCCAAATGTCTGCTTTGCCTTTATGGTTTTTGTTTGTGGCTTTAAGTATGGGGTCGACACCTGGGGGGAGATTGGCTGTTTGTTAATGTTCGTTGGTCAGAAGTGCTCCTCTGGATTACTCTGACAGGAGCTCTCACAGCCCAAATTACAGGGAGGTTAAATGTTCTTAAGCGTTAGCCCGGCTGATCATCATTAACTTTCCTCAGCCTCCTCCAGCTACAGCTCCTATCGATCCCTCTGTCCCATTATGTCTAAGCATATTGTTTTCAGGGATTATTTAACCTTGCTGTGACATTTGGTAACTGGTTCTGGAGATGTACGGTTCCATCTCGTATTATGGCCTCAAGTTGAAATCAATCGTCTGTGGGACACTTCAGATTGTTAATGTCTTAATTGATATTTACACTTGAGTGCCAGTGATGAAGGTCAGATCTTAAGCCCCGGATGTTTGTACAGTCATTTGCAATCCTGGTACATTTATTTTTTTAACCACTGAAAGCTAACATTGCATTTTTCTCAACCCAGATAAGTTGAAGTGGTTGTATATAAATATATGTCCTGTGCTCTAAATCGCTCATAAATCCAGGCATATTATAGCAGAGAATTGGAGTAGCAGCAGTATTCCCAATGAGATTAGCACATCTATTTGGAGGACAAATATAGTTTGCTCCATTTGTGTTTCAGTGTTAAATCATTCAGAGGAATTAGTTCCTGTATTATCTCCGTGCTGCACGTATTTGCTGAAGTCAGTGAAAATGTGTTATTGTAATGGTTGGTCGCTTGTCACTGATGTGCTTTGGGAGGGTGAGATGGAGGGAGAGTTTTTTTTTTTTTTTATCACAGGTAAGGCAGTAAATGCTGAACATCGGTTTGCTGAAAGGAATCTGCACAGCCAATCATGAAGGAGAGACAGAATCACAAAGATTACAATGAGAATGTGAGGCAGACTTTACTGGAACACGTTTTCAGCAAATACACAGCTTTACGGAGTAGGTAGTAAAAAATAGTTTACTAAAGAACAGCGGCAATGAAGGAGCCACAGGCCTGACAGACTGTTCTAAAATCAGCCACACAAAAGTCACACTCATCACAACACACCTGAGCCACAATCTTTTGGTGTAATCTTCCCAACTTAATTGTTCTTTACCCTATTGTAGTCTGACACATGACTCCGTCTCCTCCTCCTCCATCCTCAACGTGTTCTTCTCTGTGTGAAGTCCAGTTAGTGTCTCCCCTGAGATCGTATGTTTTCTGTCCATTTGTTTGGTAAATCATCCAGACAGCAGTGGTGTGAATACATGCACAGCAATCGGTAACAGTCCATTTCAAATATAAAATAAATGATTAAATATTAAAACACAATTTCATGCTAAAGTACTTCCATGTGGGTGGAATAAAGAACTCCTTTGTAATATTGATTTATGTAGCATTTTTACATTTATTTGAATGTATTCACATCAAATATTTAAAAATACATTTTTCAAAACATAAACAGTCCCCTTCTACACACCTTGCAAGAACCGATTAATTTGTTCTCACAGCCCAGATTTGGAAGTTCTCGCAGTTTGTTCTTGACACATCATGTGGGGAGAAATGTGATCGTGTGTGATGTTCAACAACTGGTGTGTGATTGGTTACAGATTCAGTTTGGCAGGCTGTTGCAGAAATCACAGACAGTAAAAGTACAGTTTAAAAGTAATTATTATGAATTAAATAGAAATACATATACTGATACATGTACTCAAAATAAAAATGTAGTTTATGCTAGCTGTACATTTGATTAGAATTAGAGAAGTCAAATTGTGAGTTACTTGGCATACATTTGTTATGGATTTGCCCATTGCATTTAACCTATCCAATAGACATTAGTACAGACCTTCAGGCCACCACACACACATGAAGTCTGTGTTTTTGGTCTTTTGCACCTGCTCCTCATCTAATTCACCTCCAGATGGGGGTTTTGATCCAATATTAACTAGGTCGGTTACTCCTGCCATTAAATCATTTTATTTAGTGCATACTTCATATATGAACTTCTCTAATTCCATTTTTCTTTTTGTATTTTCAAGAACAATCTGTTCTATAATTCCTGGGAATCAGATGTTGATGTTCTTAAACATCCGCTCAAGTGTTTCCAGTACAGTCTCCACATTTGTTCTGGTTTTCCTCTATTGTTTTGTTGTATAGTGAGCTTGAATGGTCCATCCACTTCATTCCGTATTCATTCCGGACCGCCGTATAAATGAGCATTGTTAGTGTATGTAAATCTCCCTCGTGGATGTCCTTTTCATCATGAGGACAACCCTTAGAGAAAAGCTAATTTGCTGCATAATTTATCATCTGTATGTGGGTCTGAAATATATGTCTCTGAAAAGGCCATTATCTAAATGTCACGTCAGTCGTCCGTGCTGCAACGTACGCCATTTAAATATTCCGGATGTGGTGGCACAGATGAGTGGGCAACACAGTCAGAGTATTTACGGCGGTGTTTGTTGCAGAACGTGTACTACACCAGTGCCCAGCTGCTGCACATCGGGCTCCTCAGTCCCACCATTGACGATGACGACAACAAGTGCCTGGTGGATGTGAACAGCAGACCTCGCCTCATCGAGTGCGGCTACGCTGCGGCCAAACGCATGAAGCTCCACTGGCTCTTCACTCAGGTGAGAATCGTGAGTTGGCTCCCACACAGAGCTGCACTATAACCTGAGCTTTTTCTCTTTCTCAGCAGTGATGGTTTTATTCACAACTCATAGCCCTGGTTCTCGGTAACACACCTAAGATTCCAAAGAAAAAAATCAGGGACTTGTGATTGAAAAAACATATGAGAAACAACAAAACCAAAGTAGGAAATAGTGACAACGATGTCCACTTTTTTACTATGGTCTGCGGTCAGAACCACACAAAATTAACATTCAGGTTTGATGTCGATATTAAGAGTCTCTGCTACCCTAATTTGTCAAGCTTGACAGGAAAACCAACCACAGAGGTGGTTACCTCAGTCAAGCAAGTGGTTTAATCTACAGACTGACCAGAGGTCACTTTAGTGCAGCAGCTCATTAAGACCCAGGGAGTCACTAAAAGTTTGGCTCTGTGATTATTCCACACACTTTCATTTTAGTCTTAAAGGACTCTTGTATTGTCGTCAGTGAAGTGTTCTTCTTAGAGTTCTGCATATATTTAATCTGAAAGACAAATGTGCTTCATAAAACACTTGTTACAATGACTGAATAACTCGTTGGCGTTTTGCCTCGTCTGACTGATGATTTAGAGCAAAATTAACGATATTAGCATTAGTGGGAATGAAATAAAGCTTTTGGACATGTGGAATGTAGATTAGGACAGGACCAGAGTTCATCTTATCACTGAACACAGGCATTCGTTTTTGAAAACATCAGATACAAATTGTAGTTTATATAGTTAAGTATAGCAGGATTAATTGTTTTAACTTAAAATAAATAAATAAAATATAGTGTTTTGTGCATTTTTCTCAAAATCAGAATGTTACCTTTGGATTGAACCAGATTATAGTTTTAAGCTTATTGGCATCTGCAGTGAGCAGCAGAGAGAGCAACACTGCACATCATTTACACTCAAAACAAGACTGAACAAAACCGACAAATGCTTCCAGGAATTGTAAATACCCGCGGTCAGTGTTATTTGGCTACCAACGAGCTAAAGCTGCACGTTCCGTTAGTCTTTTTTTATAAAGCCATGTTTGCACATGTCGTCGCCGCCCTTTCCAGGTCGAAGCCCCTGAGGCAATGATGGTGCACGTGCAGTGACAATGAGTCATGTAGTCAATTCCTGCATGCTGGAGTAGGTTGGCTTGGTGTGCTAGTACATTAGTCATATTAATAGTAATTTAATTTGTATCTATCTATCTATCTATCTATCTATATATATATATATATATATACAGTATATATATATATATATATATATATATATATATTCATGTTTGTTTGAGTGAAAAAGCTGGAAGGAGACTGCTACTGAGGTACATGCGGGTTGCTGTTAGACCTACATGTAAAATATTAGTCATCTTCTTAGTGGGAAGTAATAAGGAAAAGAAAGAACATGTTCAGTGGGTGGAGCTGTATTGTTCTGAATTGATGGTGTGATAGGAGATGTGTGGGTGATGCTCTTTGTGCTCAGATTGAGAGTAATTTCTAATTTCAACTGGAGCCACTCTAAGTGACGGCTGTGTGAGAAAGCAATCAATTAGACTCTCAGAGTATCACTGACGAGCCTAATAACAGTGGAAGGGACAGGAACGCGTACAAGCTGTGATTTCCTGTTCAAGGGCTAAAACGTTCAGACAATCAGACTGCCAACCAGTCAAGGTCACCAAAAAACTATTAACATCTTACTGTTACCAAAAAGGTACTTGTTCAGATTCACTTGATTTTTTGCTTACATTTTCGCTTAACACATAAAATAAAAAAACCTAACTTTGACGTTGTGGTACAGAAATTTCCTTCTTTAAGGCCAGGTTGTTGCGACTGACAGCAGCTTATAACTGAGGAGGCTGGAGGTTGTGCTGCCACCAAAATGTAGATGTGTTGTAAAGACAGAGTTGAGACGAGCCTCTGGAGGTCAATAGACTATTACTGTGTTTGTCTGCTGTGGTCGGTAGTTCAATGGCAGATAACAATCACAGGACATTGGGCTGCTTGGTCCAATCCACAAGAATGTCTTACAGTCAAGACGGCTGACCTCCTCTGTTCATTCTTTAACCACTGACAAAAAAGCCTGTGCTGCAAAGATTATACCTACATTATATACACTGACTATATGTGCTGTTTATTTTTAAAACCTACTGAAATAAATTGATTAAAAGAAACACCGTGGAAAAAATAAATAATTAATCTCCGGTTACGTCGGAAATAATACAACTGAGATCAAACAACCGACTCACACAAAGTTAAATGAACCAGGTTCAAATCCTATGCAAACATAAAAGCATGAGATTTAATCACATGATGCAAATCTGCCGCAGATCAAACAAACCATCTCCTTTACCTATGTTCAAAGGCCAGACTTAAAAGAGGAAATGTACCTCGGTGGCGTCACATGAACATAGTTTGATGTTTGCTGTGATGACCTATGACCCTTAGCCTCATGATTGTCTGGAGTTCTCTGGTTGATGTCACGCGTGGGCCAACATAAATAAAAAGGTGAATTTTTTTTAGGTTTTTAGTTAATTCTATTCTAACAATAAACAAGATACTTTTACATATATAAAAACATAGGTAAAGAAGGTGAGACAGAGCCCTCTTTGACTGCATGGAGTATTTTAGTTGTCATGGAAATAGTACTGTGTCTCCAGTTCTCATATCACGCTGTTTTACCCAGAATTTGTTTCTATTCAAAGAGAATCCAAATACTCCAGGAAGCTGATACAGCCCGTTTTTCTACTTTATCTCCACCTCTGACCTGTTTCTGACTGTCTCTGCGTATAAGACCAGAAATTCTTACTGCAGTAGTACCCCACTAGTACTTCATATATATTCCAACCCCAGTCACATAAGAACATTTCAGCTCAGTCTGTATCACCTGTTTAACATTTACAGTAGGTCTTGTCTTATCTCCCTCCACAGTCCATCTTTATTATTCTTCCAATGAAGCCTAAAGCGTATTCCTCACAACTGTACTCACACTCTATTGAATGTCATTGGATTCCTCTTTAGTCACTGGCCTTTCCTCATCCCTGACACAGTAATGGAAAACTCCTGAGTCATTTCATGCGGACAAGTTGGAATCTATTTGCGGCGCTGATGTGCTGCTTCTCATCAAAGACTGTGAATGGTTACAGGTCCACAGGCTCCATGTGATACAATCAGACTGCTGGTTATATGAAAAAGCGATCAGCTTTGTCCTGTTGTGCATAAAGATTCTGTTCAATATCTCGTAGAACTCCAGGACTACATACCGGACTGTCTGTGTTCAACTTCTCCAGTTGTTATGATTGGAGTTCTTTCAAATATCAAACACAGCTGTTGTAATATATTAGAGCACCACAGATGTAGAGAGAGTGGCTTTACTAAAAGTAACTTATTTGGCGTGACTCCTTGTAAAAAAAACTAGCTTCATAATTTTTCACACTTGCTAGGTTATATTATATTGTAGTCTTATATTTTATGGTATTATATGTTATAATAAAGATCGCAGGTTCAACTGTGCGGTGGAGTGACAATTCAATTCAATTCAATTTTATATATTTTTCATTACACTGGTAATGATATTTTGAGCATGTTGGGAAATCAAAAGATATATATTAGTCCCATATGTTTGCCTTCTCAGAGCCTCTCTGTTGTGGTGGTTACATACAGCCAAAGCATCCACAGTAATTAGAAGGTGCCGTTCATCTGCTAAGAGTCAGAACACAGACAAAGAGACGGCACATCAGCGAGGAACTAGACAAAGGCGCGGTGTGAATCTGTGGGACTGCAGCATCTATTTCTATTATTTTCCCCTGAAAAAATATGGTACACAATCTAAAAGCGCAGCAGATGTTTTGATGTCTCCAATGACTAATGACTGCATTGGCAATTGCATTTTTGTGTTGGGCTGGAAACCAACCTGATGCCTTTCAGTCCTAATGAAGACTACCAGGTAATTCAGCCAAAACACCACAGACTCAGGACACTCTGGTTCCTCAAATCTATATCCAGACTGAGATGAGGAGAAAAAAAAATTTATACAATGCAAACAAATGTGTTTTTTTTCTGGCTCTGAACACAACACTCCCCTTCTATCTGTTCCAGGGAGGATCCATTCAGAACAGAAAATCAAGGAGATGTCTGGAGCTTGTAGCGAGCGGTGACAATGAGTTCGGCTACCAACTGGCTCTGCAGAAATGCACTGGACAGAAATGGTTCATCACAAACATGCTGTTTAGCAGCACATCCTGATTGACGGGTGCACCTGCAACACAGAAGGAACAGCACACACTGAAGTGGATATGTGTGTGTGTGTGCGTGTACACGGTGCGTGCGTGTGCGTGTGTTCGTGCGGAAGAAGACAGTGCATGATCGAGCATGTTTAACGCTGCGTTGTCTTCTGGTGAGCAGTGGACAGCGCGCCGTAAATTTTTACAAGCGTTTTATTTTGGATAAAGGATCAGCCATAGTTAGTGGATATTTTATCAGACTTGACGATGTAGTATATTCAGTATATTTTATGGTTACTACAGTACAGTCAGATTTTTGTTGACTTCACAGATGTAAAAGGTTTCAGTACGCTTTGGTACTTTGTTCATGTCTGCTACTGTGTAGCAACGTTTCTGAACCTGACCTTGGTGTAAGTATTTTATTTCAGTGTCTCAGGTTTGTAAGTTTATATGTACAGCCATGGGAGAAGGCTCCGATGAAATCATAAATAACCTTTTTAAATGTATATATGTCAGACATTTGTAATATATATAGACAGTATATATGAAACAGTAAAATATTGCTTTCTGACATAAATGACGTAGTGAAGTGCCTCTTCCTTTGTTGATCGGGCAAATATTGGCAAATAACAATGGAAGTGGAGTAGAGGAATCTGATGGCTCATTTAATACATGGAAGAAAAAAAACTCCACCATCAGCATTATTGTAATAATTGAAGCAAACATAAACATATTTACGTACTTATTGACTATTTTACAGCTTAATTTAATGATATTTGTTAAAACATCTTGATACCAGCCTTGCTGATACGAGGTGACATCACTCGTGTCTCTACAGTAGTTGAGGTTTCCATTATTATGCAGTTAACTGAAAGACAGTGTGTGTGTGAGGCAGTTAGTGTATTCTGTGCAATGGCAGGTCCTGTGCTCGTATCGTTACAGAACAAATCTGACTTCTTCCGTCTGACTTTAAAATACCTCAGAGTTGACCTACTTATATAAACTACCCATAAGGAGCAGTGTGAAAGAGAACTGGAGGAAAATAAAAACACTGGCAGACCAGTGCACTGCTGAATACCCGATTGCCGAATCATCACTTTTTTGAGTGTTTGAAATTAATTGGTCCAATACCAAGATTTCCCATTTAACGTAATTTAGCAGGTAAATCCAATGCGACTTTCTCTTGATCCAAATAGGCTGATGTCAGTGTCTGATCTCTGCTGAGGCCAATTAAGAACTCGGAATATTGTTTCATATTCATCAACATTCATAAAATAAAGTCCCAAAACATCACGGAGCCTCCACTGTGCTTAGCCCTCTGGTTCAAACGGTCACTAATGTATTTCCCTGGTGGTCCAAATTTAAAACTTTGACTTTTGCACTTTTGGTGATAAATTATTTATTTTTGCCAAATTCTCTTTTGCTTCTATTCAGAAATCAACATTTTTACCTCGACCCATTTCATTTAGACTTTTTAATGAACGACTAGAGCCACTGGGTTTATTAATGGATGAGTTTTGTGACTCCTGAAAAGCTGGAGAAATGTTCCTTCAGACTGATTTTGTTCATTACATGTATATCAGGCTCTTTGGATGAAACATGAAAAGAAGGGAAAAAAACGCTCAAGATTAACGCCGTAATGAAAGGCTTGTTATGTTGCGTGTTGACAACCGAGTTTCGCCTACATTCAATTTCAAAAGACAGACAGCACAAGGAAATACACAGAGCAAACAAATGCGTAAACTTCACAGAACTAAAGAGGATATTCCGGTGGGAAGCACAGCTGACAGGCTCGTAAATATCTGCTTTACAGTTTAGTTGTTCTGTTTAATATAACATTCAACATCAGAGGGATTTGTTCATCTGTTGTTTCTTTAAATCATAAATAAAGCCTTGATTCCAGTGAACACAGACCAAGATCCACAGACATAACTGTCACAAACAGTATCCATATATTTTAAGGCCATTAACACTTATACATTTTAATGTGCTTTGTGTGTGTTTTTGTTTATTTGTTTGTTTTGTTGCCCTTAGTAAATGGGTTGGGGTTTTTTTTATTTGTTTCTTACTGCAAAGCCACTGTAGATGTGTCCTTGAAAAGGGACCTGTTACTGAATAATGCACACACATTCTGCCTAATGTACAGACGCGTATTGCACCTAAGGTACAGGGTGCTGGAAATGTTGTCACTTTGTAATGACAAATGCAGAAGTTGATGCAGAGAAGCAGCAGGAAGCTCTGCAGTGACTGCTGTGTGCACCTGGGGAGGACACGCCTGGCACAGGCTGTTTTCACAACGCCACTCCTAATTACCATCCACGCTCAAGCAGAACTCTGCAAACCGCGGCATTAAAAATACATCGGAGACCCACTTTCATCAGAAGAACAACTTACACATTTCCCATATATGCAATCAGAGAGCCTGTGCACGCTCAAACTTTCTAATTAAAACATTTTTAAACAACTCCCCCTTCTTTTTTTTTCTTGCACGTTACTTACGTCATCCTCTGGGTGACCTCTCATCCTCGCTGATTGCTGCTGCACGCTGGTTTTCATGCATGGTTTCAGCTGAGGAAAGTACTGTAGATGAGGGATTTGTGTGTGAACATTTGCTTAATATTCTATTATCATGCATAAATTTATCACCCTTGTTGATCGAGCAAGTCTTCTCGTGCCATAAAACGACTTTTTATAGAACACTGCTGAGACTGAAATTCCCAGTAAATCTAGAGAAGAAGACACATGCAGCCCACTTTCTGTCTTAGCTGGAGTCACATGCGATCGCTCAGTAAAACTGTCCGTCCTGCCTCAGAGGTGTAGCATTTGGAAATTGCAATCATTTCCTCATCTTTGTGGATCCAGCCTTGATCTTAACTGTACTTGTTATTGTCATGGGGGACGTGTTACTGGATGATGTTCGCTTCGCTTTCTCACAAATACTAAAAAAATGCAGCCGGCCAACTGCTTTTTGTTGATCCAAATCAGTAGCAACTTTTCCATTTCTAATGTCTGAGATCTTTGCTCGGTGATTACAGTCACTCCTTTGAACCTCAGCTTCTTTTATTGCTTCCTTGTTCTTAACGATGGTACAAATCGATGACTTTGCTAAACCATACTGTAAAGTCAGATCTGAACTCACACTCGAATGATTGTTCTTTTTATGTTGAGGGTGCGCTTCTTCGGTTCCTGTGCTGTTCCCTGTCTTCTCTATAAAAAGGTAAGATATATTTGCTGAGGAAGTCTTCATTTTGTCATAAACGTATATATATATCAGTATATCTTACTTTTCTCCAAATAGACTTCAGTCTGAAGTGTCTCTTGTCCAGAGGTGAGTTTTTCTCCCAGCCCTGCAGTCTATATCTGTGCAGGGCTGACAGTGATTCTATTTTCTTGGTTTTCCTTTTGGGGTTTTATATATATATATATGTAATTTTGTACCTGTCCGTTTTGTCAGATTTTTTTGAATTACAGTACTTGATAATACTTCATCACATGGTGCTTGACACTGGGAGATATTTTGTGTCATTCTGATTGGGGAATGTATTTCTCAAATGTATATATGTTTTTGCACATAATGATTTTACAAGTGATGGCCTGACATTTGAATTCAATTTGTCCTCATCTGTAACTTTTTGCAGGACTTTGAGTTTGAAAAGATTGCAGGTCAGAGGGTTGCTTGAAAAAAATATTTATAAAACACTATTTGCTGTGAGCAGGGTTTTTGGACAGAAACAGGCCATAAATGTCCTCCAGTCCTCAGGTAAAGCTGAGCTTCTTCTTATTTGGTGCTGAAAACTTGTCGGCATTCTTTACACCGGGATGTTAATAAACACACAGATGTCAATTCCTAAAATAACACTCACCTCACACGTCTGCAGTCCTCCTCACATCTCGGTTCATCTCTTCATACCCAGGCTCTGGGAGGCCGCCATTCATTTCATGTCATGTCAGTATATTTCAGAGGATGTGCTGCTGAACTCTCCTCATTCTTCTGATCACAGGAGTTTTGAAAGGGTTGGGGAAGAGTTCAGGCTGTCAGCAGTGAGAAGGAACTCTACAGGATCCAGAGAGGGGGCTGTCTCTTATCTCTGCTGCAGATGATCCACAGGTAGCCGAGGAGACGCTGTCAGGAACAAAGGGTGTGTGGGAAAACATGCAGGAACACAAACGGGAAATGGCAGGGAGAGAAAGAGTGGAAAATAAACATGCACCCCGCCAGGGATGAAACCAAGTGAGCACTTACATCGACACCGTGTCACAGAGACGGATCCAATGTGTAGGCACAAAAACACACATGTCAGTTAAATTCACGTGGGTGTGGAGGCCGTCGTACCCCACACGGCCTCACATGTAGATAAATGTCACTGTTAATTGTTTCCTGTAAGTGTGAGGGGTTTTTGTGGAAGTGTTGCCATGGATACTGGTCTTGTGCACCATATTCTTGAATGCCTTTAGGCGTTGGACCACAGGTGAGCGAATCAGATGGGGGAGAAAATAAGACAGCTCATTATTAACAGCTGAGGAGGATGTAGTTTTGTTGGCTTTTTTTGTTTTTTAATGAAACACATGAATGATTTGACCGGTGCAAATGTCACTGCTGATGAATCTATTTGTTTTTCTGTATCTCTGTATATTTGTGCTGCATGTGAGGCAACAGAGCAAACTAGTGATTTATGAGAACGAGGGGAGAAAACCAGAGGTAAAAATGGGCACAGCATTTTCACAGACAGAGATTTTTACTCCCCTCAAATACAGGGGAGATGTATTAAGATTATTTACACATTTATTTATTTTTTTACAAATATTGTTTCTTTATCACATCAGAGGACATGTTTGCTGCCTTATGTCAACATCCTCATCTTTAGCTACGTGTAAAACAATTTTATGGCCAACCTTTGGCAATCCCAGAATAACTTATTAATCTTTATATTATTTATTCAACTTTTCTCTTTACTTTTATGTTAAGCTTCTTAGTTGTCTGCTTTTCTGTTGTCATGTCAGGTTGTTTTTTGCATTCTTGCTCTGTTTCATGGATGTCGAACTCAATCATGCAAGGCCAGAATTTAAAACACAGTCTGTGGGCCAAACAGGATTCACATATTAATTAATTTATTGAAAAGTATATTGTGTTTGCCAGGATGTGGGTCAAAAATCAACGTGCCTCATGGGAGATTTGCAATTCACCAAAAAAATAATTGTTAACTATTTGCATTGCACAGAATTTCATCAATGTTTTTTAAGTATAGACTCTTTAAGATAAACATTTGTTTTAAAACAATCCCACGAATTAGCTCCAGTGGGCCACGTAAAATGACGTATTAGGCCACATTCAGCCCACAGGCCCTTAGTTTGACATATGTGCTTTATTTAGTCAAACGTTGTCTAACTATGCATTGCTATAGTGTAATAATGAACACATAATTACACTTTTATTATATATATATGCACTCACACTGCATAGCTTGACATTGGAGGACATGCATGTAGAAGTAAATTATAAGCAAAGTTTAAATACATTTACTACACCCTCTGAGTACTGACGATATGAAAGAAACAAAGCTTTAAAATCTCTACACTGACTTCACAAACACTGACAGTTTGTTTTAATACTCTTTAAACGTGTATATATTTACTTGGCACTGACTGGGCAAACAGAGAACCTGATTATTTTACATGTTTCATCTTTGACACTAATCTTCAAAATTAACACAGAAAAAGAGGATTCTATAAAGACACCCAGCTCATTTCCTGAGCAGTCAAGATTTCTCCTTAATCCTTTTATATTTATTAAGTCTAAACAAGTCAGTTGATGTACAAACGCTGGCATTTTATCCAATACAACTTAACTGGATTTTGACAGTGATGGATGAGGCTCTATGTGGGGAAAACAAATCAGATCTAACCAAGAAAATTGCTATTGACTTTAACATCTTAAGCCTATACTGTATTTGTTTGGTGTGTGTTTCTCCTCAAAGTAAAACTGTTGTACACTCACTTTGAAGCCGATGTCAACCATTTAATCAGTTACTGGCCAAAATGTAAATGAAATGCTGTCAGAGCAAACTTGAACATTGATT